CATAGTAATGTTCCAGATAATTATTTCATTAACTGATGGGAAAAAAAAAAGAACATGAGATTAAAGTTTTTGCTCTTCTACTTATTGGTTTGATTCAATTATTTAATAAAATCGAGAACATTAACAGTTTTTTTTTTCAGTTTTAAAACTAAAAACATTACCAGTTTTTCATTTTTAAAGTTTTTTTTTCCCATTTTGCACGTTAATGTTCCATCATCATGCTCCTTTATAGACACAAAATTTTCAGTTTTGTACAAAAAAATAATTCAAAATTTTCAATTTTTTTTTTTTTTTTTGCACATAAAGTTCATATTTTGAAGTTTTAAAAATCAAAATAAATGTCAAATCATCATGTTCCTTTATAGATAATCAAAAATGATAAACAATTATTATTTGAAGGGCAATTCTGATTATTAAAAATTTAATAGGACTTAAAGGTCAAAATTTTTTTAATTAAGACTCAATGTAATATAAGTTTATAAATTAAGACTTGTGTGTAAATGTCCCTAAAAAAATATATATGCATTTCAATGAAAAGTGATAATAATATTATTTTTTTTCATTCATATGACTTATAAATTATTGATGTAAAATGATTTAAATGTTATGCGAATTAAATTTTTTTTTAAAAATATAGTATAATTATATAAACTAACTATATTTGTTTAAAATTTTAAAAAAGGTGAGTATAATTTACTCTTAAAATCAATATGAATAATGCTTGGGACCCCCTTTTGGGGGTCACCCCCTCACCCCCTTTGCTACGTGACGGGTGGTGATTGGAGGAGTAGGAAAAAAAAAGAAAAAAAAAAGAAAATATAACCAATGAGAGAGAGAGGGGGTCAAAGGAGGTGGGGGAAAAGGGGATGAATCATTATTGAAATCAATATATAACTTCATAAACAGTACACAGACTTTACACGACTTTCCAATGACTTTTACAAGACTTTGGAACAACTAATGATTTATTTTCTATGATTATTTACAACCCCCCCCCCCAAAGCTACGGATAACATATTAATAATTAGATTATAATACAGGTCAACCCCCCCCCTCGGATTTTGGAGATTCTCACAAGCTACGGATAACATATTACTAATTAGATTATAATACAGGTCAATATTTTTTCAGAAACTCGAACTTAAAAGTTCAGTAGTTTTTTTTTAAAGAACAATATAAAATATATATATATATAAACATATTATTCACACAACGAGTGGACTCAATTTGTAGCAAATATTGCCACCTCATTTTCGGCATTCGGTGGGAATGCTTTTGTGCGAACGTAACAGCTCTCTTTGTTTAAGGAGTTTTTTTTTCCTTTTTTTTTGTGTTAAATATTCTAAAAAATCAAACAATTGAGAGCTGCTACATCCACACAAGCTTTCCCACTAAATGCCTGAAATGAGAGTATGAAATAATTGATAGATATAGATGCAAGTACTAAAAGCTTTTGTTTTTGTGATTTGATAAATTTAAATTTTCATTCTCAAATTGTTGAAAATAGTTGATAGATATAGATAATAGTGTAAAATTTTTCTTTATAAATTTGTATTACTTAAGAGTGGCTACTGTTTAATTGGCTTATGATTCCAGCAGACTTGTCCACATTCAGGACTAATTGTCTAACTCTTTTACTATTTCCATCTTTGTTTCACACGTCTCCCAATTATTATTAGAGTAAACTGTCAATAGATTTTAATAGTTAGAGTTAATTTCCATCAAATTTTATAAAAAATAAATCTTAATAAAATCATTGTTAAAAATAAATTTTTGTGACAATTTTTTATGTCGCTAAAAATTGACAATTATGAACTTTTTTTGTTACGATTTTTATAAATTATCGCTAAAACTTACAATTAGTAGTTTTTTTTGTCACGAATTTTTTAAATTGTCATTGAAAGTTGGAAATTAGTGACTTTTTTTGTTACGATTTTTTTAAACTATTGCTAAAACTTATAATTAATGACATTTTTTGTAACAATTTTCAAATTGTCGTTGAAAATTAATAATTAATAACGTTTTTTAATAGTGTTTAATGAAAAACGCGATTAATTATCATAGGTCATATTAGATAATAAGTTCACCTATTAAGACCTACACGTAAATCCCCATTATTATTATTATAAAATATTACTTTTTTTGGATGATCAAGAAAAAAAAAATTGCATAATAAAATAAGTAGAGCAAGATCAAAATGCTAAAATCATGATACAAGAATTTTCTCTTCCTATGAAAATTTGTATTAAGCAAAGCCAGCTTGTGATGTGAAATTAAGCTGAAAAAACACAAGCACAAAAGGACTTGAAAACTTGAAGACTTCTTCAAAATTGTCATTACATGACAAATGTAACCCTTCTATCTCACCCTTCACTACAAGAAAATGCACTTTTGGCGACTAAAGTTTTAGTCACCAAAAGTAAGATTTTTAGTCACTGAAGCCTTTTCCCGACTAAATATTTTGGTCGCTAAATTTGTTGTGGGAAAACGGTCGGGAAAGGTTTTGGAAACTAAAAAAAATTTAGTCGCCAAAAGTCCTATAAATGGCTACTAATGTTTTAGTAGGGAAAAGTACGAGGTATTGGCGACTTAATATTTTTTAGTAGCCAAAAGTCATAAATTGGCAACTAAATATTTAGTCGCCAAAAGTTTTCAAATAAAATTAATTTTCATTTTTGGCGACTAAAACTTTTAGTCGCCCAAAGTATCATTTATTATTAGCTACTAAATATTTAGTCGCCAAAAAATTTTTTTATTTCTTTTTTAGCTACTAAACTATTTAGTCGCCTAAAGTCTCATATATTTTTTACTACTAAATTTTTAGTCGCCAAAAAATCTTTGGTTTGTTTTTGGCTACTAAATTTTTAGTAGCCAACAAGTTTCATTTTGTTTTTTTGGCTACTAAACATTTAGTCACCAAAAACTTTATTTAGTGTTATTTTTTTATTTTTATTATTATTAATTTCTACACAACTTGTATTTATTTCGTGCAACCTGACCCTGTATATAAACAAAACAATACATATGTCTATTTCTATTTCACTTTCAACCATCCAAAAATTTGGTCTTGTAGCATCAAATTCTATACAAACCAAATATAATCCAACCAAAAATAATAATTCCATACAAACAGATAATCATACAAATATGATGTCCTCCGTATACAAAAAAGAAATATCCACTAGTAATCTATTCCACCAGAAAATAACTTCATCTTTGTTGGATCAACAACTATTGCAGTAATTGGTAGTGGAAAAGCTCGAGTTTGTAAAAGTCTTCCAGTAACAAGGTCCCATACCTACAATACGAAAATAAGTCATTTCGAAAAACAAAAATACACATGCTAGGAAGATATTATAAAGAGCTTTTTCTTTGTCAATACTTGGACTGGACTTTTTCATTAATATAATCATGACATTTACCTAACCAGTTGTTTTAGACCATCGCATCATGTTTTGGATGAGAAGAAAGAAGAAAATCAACCAGGACACGAGGGGGAAAAAATAGCAAGAACATGAAACACTTGTTATCGATTTCAACACATTTTTCACAGTTGTCCCCATAATTTTTATAAATATCATTAACACATCATTTTGGATATATTTTCTATTTAAACTGTCTGTATTTAAAATACCCAAAAAGTATGGGATACTTGTAAACAGGGAATCATCTCAATTAACCCCCAATTAATGCAGACAGACACTAGAATTAGATATTCGACATGCACTGAGAAAATTTGTAAGCATTAACACGATATTCACATAATGAGAAGATAAAGTGACATATTTTCCCTCATTTATCACTAACATTTATATGATCCTAGCATTCCTTGTTTTGTGGGTTTGATTTTCGAAAATAAGATGGAAGTGTCCCTTAAAAGGTCTACTAAATAAATGAATAAACAAAAGAACCAACCCTTCAATACAGAATTTCAAGCATTCCTTCTGTTACTTCCATCAAAGATAACCTTGATTATATAAAATATTATGATCCCACTGAAGAGACAGTGTCACATGCCTGCTGAGTACTAAAATAATATATTTTTCCCAAGTCACCAGAATCCTAGTTTAGCAGTCATCTCCAGAAGCACAGAGAATTGTCTTTTTATAGTACCATGTTGTAGAAAAACCATAAGAAAAATAAATATTTGGACACTTCAAACCATTTGGCATTTTGGACTATTGCAACTTCCCATAGTTGTAACAGATAAATATACCACCTTGGCATTATTATAAATGGTCAAAAATAAACAGTTTGCAAATGATCCTTTTCACTTTAGAACCATTAATTATAGCATTCGATTTCTAGTTGTCAATTGCCTTTATTATTCCACATTTGGTCCTCACATTCCCTACATTGGTGTGTCTACCTTCTTTGATGTTCAGATTTACATTGGTATAACGATTTTGGAACGAGGCTTAAATCTTTGAAGCTTTTAATCCATCGGTTTTTCATTCATCATAATTGATCAAAATGAATTGTGTCTACATGGGCAACACTTAGGGCTCACTAAATCATTTAGAATCTGATAGATATGGACAAAGACAAAAAGCTTTGATATTTCACTCTCATGTGTTCTAGGAATGAAGGTTGCAAAACATGTAGATATAACCATGCAACAACGAATGAATACTATCACTTACTTCATGATCTGGAAAGGCCAGAGAAAGGACACGAACAGCTTCATCGTCCCACTTCTGGTCCCCAAATTGCGGTGTGATAATACCTCCATTTGCAATGTAGAAGTTCACATAAGAAGTTCACATAAGAAGCAGCAATCCTTGATTCCAGAAGTCGTGGTTTAGCCTCACCATTCTGTTCTCAAAACATCAACAATATGAGGACCTAATGCATTTGATTTACGTATCACATGATTAATAGAACACATAAAATAAAGCAGGAAATGAACATCAGGACGACAGGAGATAATCGCATACACGCATTCTCAGAGAGGTTAACTAAATTTACAAAATTTACAATGTCTCCTTTTTTGTCAGGAGTCAACATAACGGCTTACGTGAAAGAGTATATATATATTGTGAAGGAGACAAAAACTCATGCAGACACCTTAATTCTTGATATTTACTTGCATGCGTATGTGTGCACATACATATACATACAAACACACATAAAGTAGCATGGCCTTTATGAGAATTTCTTCGAACACGTGATTGGGAAAATAATATGATGTTTTTTGTTTTTTCATATTACAAGATGGAGATGAGAAAGATGAAAGAGAGTAGAAGAATAAGATAAGACAGGAGATGAGAAGAACAATGAGATAAAATAGAAGAAGAATATAATGAAGAGAGAAAAGATAGCAAGAAAGTCAAGGACAATGAATAAGACAGAATATAAATATATGAAAAGTGGAGATATAAGAGAATAGGGGAAAATGAAGAGTAAAGAAGAGAGAGGGAGGTAGAGACGAGAGAAACATAGAGGAGAAGAGAACCGCCACCTGAGAAGAGAGAGATTTAGGATGAAAAAGCAACAGCAACACAGAGAGGGAGGGAGATGCATCAATCAAATCTAATTTTATTCATGCATGTGATACCAAATTCGTTTTACAGCAATAGAGCCTATTTATAGGTTGTGTAGTCTGTAGATAATCATGAAAATGTGTGGAAACTTTCACAAACCAATCCTAATTCCTACCCAGCATAGATACCTAAAAAACTCAAGTCTTATCACTAAAGCCATTAAAAGTCCTAAAAGAAAGAAAATATAAAAATATTAAATCAAAGACAAAGTACTTAACACTAGTAATCAATTTATCATCTTCTCGTGGGTCTCACATCGACTAGGTTACATTATTCCCCTCTTGTTGGAGGAAAATTAACCTCAAGTTCTGCAGATTGACATTCCTAAAACTAGTAAATTTTGATCTCCATCAGTATTGTTCAGTAAACATGAGCATAACATCTCAAAAAATGTAAATTTACTTTTCAGTTAGTGGATAAAGAGTAGCCAGAACCGATACAGAGTTGTGACAGTAAAATTCTAAGAATCATGTTTGCCTGAATTAGTCATGCTGCCTCTTCATCTGTCATGTAAAGTGGCCCAGGTACATGGAGTTTAATAATTTCTAGTTTTCTACCTTTAGCGTTGGGTAACATGAGAGAGAACAGAAAAGGCTTCCACAGATCGCTCATACTGAGGATCTGATTCATCATTAGTCCAGGACAACAAAGCCACACCAGGCTTCACAAAATAGCACAAGTTGTCAATATGACCATTAGTATCATCATCACCTGCAAAACACCATGTTAAAGGCCTTAGTTCACTAAAAATATCTTGTTTAAACTTTGGTCCTTTTTATTTTTTCCTCTTGAGTAATCAATAGGAAAAGCTTCAACGATGAGGCAGGAAAAATCACAAACACGTTGGAGAAAGTAACTCTAGCAACTTCTATATACAAACTTTTATTAAAAACAACGCCCAATTAGTACACATTAATGTCAAAATCAAGATTATTGATCCCATATCCTCATAGGAAAATAGATAGGATGATAAGGATTCAGAAGGCACAGGATGAAGATAAATATGTAGTGTCCATATAGCAATTCCATATAAATTAAAAAGACAAGTGAATAAGTACCTTTATGTCCTCTGAATTCACATATATATGATTCACTCGGAGATAAAGATTCGTAGCTGAAATTGCTCTCATATGCCAATCAGTTTTAGACCTGAATGCATTTTGTTCATAGGGACTTGTGGTAGTGACAATGAGTTCATCACCATAAACATTTGTTGTCCTCGTAGTGACTGCTATGAGTTGACTTGCTTCTTTTGCCTAAAAATACAAATTTGATTGCATCATCAATTGAAATGTGTAATCAATCATCAACCACACATGGAATGTAAATAAATAAATAAAAAGTCACCATAGATTCAAAGACATCCAAAAAAAAATAAATAAATCACCTGTTTCTCAATTTCTGCAATTTGTTGTCTTTGTTGTGAGGGTGGAGTAATCTCAGCACCAAGTATTATATCACGAATCTCAGATTGTGTCAATGCTGACGTGTTCACATTGTTTTTTTTTGGCATAGTCTGAAAGTACAAGATCTCTCAAAGCAACCTCAACCTGAAAACGCAGTACATTATTGTGTCACATACATCCACCAATATAACCTGTGATGTACTAAATAATGTCCCATTAAATTTTTTCCCCCATTAAAATCACAGTTAGAATGTTGATAAAATGGAAGAAATTAATAATGCATACAAAGAACAAACATGACCATGGATTCATCAATGAAGTTACCTTCATCAATGAAGTTACCTTCATCCACTGATCATCAGAAAGAGAAGGCCAAATGTGATGGGGCTCTGTGACAATTGTCTTATCAGGCTTTAATAGCATTTTTGCCTTCTCATTGTTCACGTGAAGAGCACGCAGAATCAAAATGAGTCTGGAGAATGCTGTGTAGGACGAAATACTTTTCAACCAATCATCATAGATGTTGAATAAGACCATTTGTGGCTCGGTAGCCTTCAGAATGAGATCACTAAATTTCTTAATCTTCAAGCAAGCTTGGAAGGGAAGTTGCAGTTCACTTCCTTTGATAACAATATTGGGGAAATCCAATAAATGAACCTCCAAAGGATCAATCATTATTGATCCCATAGCCCAAAATCTCTAAAGACTGCAGTGTCCATATAGCAATTCCTTTCATTCCTTACTCCATTTCCTTTGCGAAATATTTAAATAACCATCATTTTTTTGCCAAGATTTTTCCTTCATAATTATAATTTCGAAAATCAAACCCATTTTCGACATGAAGAATATCATAATTTCATAGAAATCAAACACTTCAACCAAACCCATTATCGAAATTAACACAAAATTGAACTAAAAAAATCATATAAACCCTAGATGAAGTGTGAGAAATGGGGAAATAGGGGAAGGGAGAAAGAGAGAGAAATAGAGAGAGAGGGAATGGCTCGGCAGAGAGAGAGAGACCCAGGTCGACAATGAGGGAGAGGACCGAACGCAACAGTGACAAACCTGTGATTTGCGGTAGTGTTGGTGGTGATTTCGGCGATGGCGGTGGCGACGTGCGACAGTGGGGATGGATGGTGGCCAGCGACAGTGGTAGTGACAGTCGGTGGTGAGAGGGAGCAGCAGAGGGAGAACCGCTGAAGAAAGAGAGAAGAGGTGCTGGTTTGTGGTTTGGAAACCAAAATATATATATTACACCATTGGCGACTAAAAGTTTTTAGTCGCTGAAAGTATTTCATAAATCCCTCCAAATTATTTAAAATATCTCTCTCCAATAATTTTAGTTCTTTGGCGACTAAAACTATTTTTCGTCGTTGAACATAAACTTTTGGCTACTAAAATTTTGGTCGCCAAAGGTAAAAAATAATTTTTTATTTTCCAATTGGCGACTGAAGTGTTTTAGTAGCGAAATCTCCACCTACAGCGACTAAAATTGTTTTTTAGTCCCAATAAACAATACCCCGACTAAAATAAATTAGTAACTAAATATTTTACTTTTGCCGACTAAAAAAATTTTTAGTCGCCATTTCTACAACTTTTGGCGACTAAATTTTTTTTAGTGGCCAATTTTGATCACCAAATGTGCATTTTGTTGTAGTGATTGTAGATCAGCTAGACCTCCATAGCCCTCCTTCAATGGCTGTCTTATTCTTCTTCATCTTCTTCTTTCTATTAGTCCCTTGTTTTGCTCAACTCTCTTTCAATTTCACTGAGTTCAATCCAAACATTCACGACATAAACTACTAAGAAGAAGCTTTGCCCTCCGATCCAGTCATCCAACTAACCGTAAACTAGAATGACAAGAACATGACATCAAGTATAGGCCGCATCATGTACTACAAACTGATGTCACTTTGGGACATGGCCTCAGGAGCACATGGAGACTACAATACCCATTTCTCATTCATCATGAACTCACAAACTAGGACCATGCACGCCGATTTGATTGCATTTTTCATTGCATCGGTTGGCTTCCCCATCCAAGATGTCCAAGTAGGTAGGCCTCGTCTACTGTGAGCAACTATTCAACTCATCGGCCAATCCATATGTGCTAGTAGAGTTCGGCACGTATCCAAACCCTTGGGATCCGCCCTCGGAGGGCAGATCACGTTGGTGACTCTGGATTAGTTACAATTCTAGCTTGAGAAATTTGAGTGTTGCATTCACCGATTTTTTCTTAATAGAAACACCACAATCTTGCAAGAGCTTTCTCGTATAGTTTATTTAAGCAAGTATTTGTTGGAGTGGGTTACTTTAGGCTTTTCTGCTGCAACAGGATCATTATTTGAGATCCATACTCTTTCACTCTTGGGAATTTTAGTTCTAATATACAAATCGCTCCAAATTTATTGAATTCAAATCCATCAAGTCCAATTGGTTTGGAGTCAATACCAACAATTCCCAACCAAGAACAAAATGGAACAAACAATAGAGGGGTACTAGTGGGATCTATTGTAGGTGCGTGCATTCTAATTAGTGGGTTGGTCTTGCTTTGGTTTAGCTCGAGGAAGAAGAAGAAGAGAAATGGGGTTGAAAAGAAAGATGATCGCGATTTCAATGTTTTGTATGAGTTTGAAGGCGAAACAGGACTTAAGAAGTTTTCAAACAAAGAATTGGCCATTGCAACAAAGAACTTTGTGGAGGAAGAGAAGCCTGGATAGGGTGGAATTGACAGCACTTACAGAGGTTTCTTGAGGGACTTAAATTCCTATGTTGCTGTCAAGAGGGCATCGAGGGAGTCTACACCTTAGTTGCACGAAGCGAAAGTGGGAGCGGGAGCGGGAGCGGGAGTGGGGGCGGGGGCGGGAGCGGGAGTGGGAGCGGGGAAGCGTGAGCGGATAGAAGTTTCTTAGGTTGGGAGCGCCTCGGGAAGCGGTAATATATATATATTTTTAATAGTTATTTCTAAAATATATTTATTATATAAAGGTGAGTTAAATAATTATTTTTAAATATATTTATTATTTTTATCTTAGATATTATTTTTATAGATAATATTTTTAATTTGTTTATACATATATTTTTTAATTTTTAATTGATATATATTATAAATAAAAAACAGTAAAATAATAAAATATGTTAAAAAACAGTAAAGTAATAAAAAATAGTAAAATAATAATTTATTTTATAAATCTTATTAGATTTTTTTTATTATATTTGATTTAATTAGATTTATTATATTATTATATAACAAATTATATTATTTATATAATAAAGTATATTATCTATTATATTATTATATAACAAATTATATTATTTATTATATTTATTATATGTTAGAAACGGCAGCAGCACAGATCGAAGAGGGAGAGAGAGAGAGAGAGAGAGAGAGAGAGAGAGAAGAAGAAGAAGAAGAAGCAGAAGGAGGTGAGCTGCTCGAAGGCGAGATCGATCGCGATGGCGATGTGGAGAAGGCGATGGTGATGGCGATGGCGATGGCGAAGGCGATGTGGAGAAGATCGATCGCGAGCAGATTGCGAGAGCAGATCGAAGGTTAGGAGCAGATCGAAGGTCCAGGCGATGTCGAAGGTCGATCTCGAAGGTCCAGGCAATGTCGAAGGAGAAGGTAGCAGCGAGTTCAGGTTTCTCTCTCTCTCTCTCCCCCTTGCGATCCCATCTTGGACTGGATCGCGTTTCTGTCTCCACAGAAACGCGATTCCTACACGTTTCTTTCTAGGAAGCGCAGAATCGCGATTCTGACTCCGAATCGTCACCAGATTGCACGATTCTTGCAACTAAGGTCTACACAGGAGATTAAAGAGTATGCGTCAGAAGTGAAGATCATCAGCTGATTGAGGCATAGGAATTTGGTGCAACTTCTAGGTTGGTGCCATGAAGAAAAAGAACTCTTACTTCTCTATGAGTTCATGCCCAATGGTAGCTTGGACTCTCATTTCTTCAAAGGCAACACCTTTTTGACATTGTTAACAAGGTACCATATTGCTCAAGGCTTAGCCGCGACATTGTTGTACTTACACAAAGAATGGGAACAGTGCTGTTGCACAGAGATATTAAATTGAGCAACATTATGTTGGATTCAAATTTCAATGCTAAGCTTGAGAATTTTGGGTTAGCCAATCTTGTTGACCACGGGAATGGGTCACAGACCAGGATCCTGCCCAGGACAATGGAATACATGGCTCCTGAGTGCCTCATGAAAGGCAAGGCCTACCTATGTTACACGGACTCTTCAAAATAAATCAAATACCCGTGTCGGACATCTGACACTCGGACAAGGGTATGTGATATGTGCTGGATACTTTTCAATGGATACTTCTTATATAATTGTATATAACACTATTATTATATGAACATATTGTTGTATAATTGCTATAAATGTCATTTTGATACTGTAAATTACATATAGTACCATTTTATTTCACATACTAGATTAAAAATATAAAAATATGACATTTTTTTGTGGAGTCCGCGTATCCTTAAATTTATGATTTGATGAGTCCGACCTCTAGATACATACCCGCATCTAACACCCGTACCCGAGTCCATGTAACATAGAGGACAACAAAGAATCAGATGTCTACAGTTTTGGCATTGTTGCTTTGGAAATTGCCTGTGGAAGAAAGCCTATTGATCCCATGGTTAAAGAAGGTTTGGGAGCTCTATGGAAGAGGAAATGTTCTCGAAGCAGTAGATGCGAAACTCGAGGCACATCACCCAGATCACAATTGCAAGCCTTCAATAACGCATGCAATTCAAGTTCTTAATTTGGAAGCTCCATTGCCTAGCCTACCACCAAACATGCCTATGCCAACTTACTTGAAGCATGAAACCAATTAAAAATAATTGCAGGCCTTCAAAATGATTGATATGAGCAAATAATATGTTTTCACAAATTAGAGCACAACAAAGATTGGGGATTTCCATTGAAGCACCAAACCAATTAAAAATAGCAACAAGCATAGAATTATAATTGATTTATTGCATACCCATATAAGCATTTATACAACAATAAATTGAATTCATGGAAAGAACAACACAACACAAATAGGGCAACAACTACAACAGTAAAAAGTCATAATTAAATTAACAATGCTAATAAATTAGGGCAAAGTGAAAAAATTAACGCAACAACTATAGTCTTCCATTAAAATCTGATCAAACAAATAAAAAGAGAGAAGAAGAAGAAGAAGAACTCACGTTGCTAGAGCCGGATCAATGTTTGTTTTATTGCCGCAGCCGGTTCTCCACTTCGAGGATGAGAGAGAAGAGGACATCGACAATATGAATTGATACATGTATACGTGTGAAATCTCTTTTTGGGCCCCGCAGATTGGTCCTTTGGGCCTTTTGTGTTTAGCACTATAATAGACTAACGAATTTGGAGGCCCAAAGACAAGCCTTTGTTCTTTGTGCTCAAGGCCCGTATAACTACCGATGTAATGAATAAGTTATACCATTGATCTATATAATATTTTTTGAATTTTACTTTGTGTCTTTTTAGGATGAATTACACTAACGGACCCTATAATTTGAGTCTTATATCATTTTGATCTTTAATTTTTCAATTATGACACATTTGACTATGAATTTTGAATCTTATTCTAAATTAGGACAATTAAAAATACCATCGCTCAATTTCAAGGGCAAAGTTGTCAATTTAATAAAATATAAACTAATTTGATAAAAATAAATGCCAAAAAATATTTTTTAATTTTTAAAAATAATTTCTACACACTAAAGATAAAATTATGTAAAATTAATAAATCTTTTAATCATTTGTTTATTTACTAAATTAATTTTTATTATGTGTTTGGATGATGATCATGTAATGGGTGGTTATTTTTATTTTCATTAAATTAGTTTTTATTTTTCAAAAGTCAAATATGACGAAAACTTCAATTTTACTATTAAACCAATCCATTAAATCAAAAAATTCAAAACTAAAAACATTTCATATATTAAATATATCTATTACACATTAAAAGCCTAACAACCGTCCATTACATAATCATCATCCAAATACATAATAAAAATTAATTTAGTAAAATAAATAAATAAATAAATAAATAAATATCTAAAAGATTTATCAATTTTACATAATTTTGTCTTTGGTGGGTAGAAATTATTTTTAAAAATTCAAAAATATTTTTTTGATATTTATTTTTGTTAAATTAGTTTATATTTTATCAAATTGACGACTTTGCCCTTAAAATTGAGTAATGGTATCTTCAATTGACCTTATTTGGAACAAAATTCAAAATTCAGAGTCAAATATATTACAATTAAAAAGTTAAGAATCAAAGTGACACGAGTTCTAAACTATAAGAATTTTGCGTTTTATCTTCGTGCCCTTTATATATTTTGTTATTGTGTTGCATTATAAGTAGACTAGTATATGCCTATACCTAAAGGTACGGTACAATTAATGATGAGATTAAATATAATTGAAAATAAAATTGTTAAATTAAAATGTAATTTATCGAATTCGTTACTAAAAATTTAAGGTCAGTTTCGACTTTCAAAATGAATTTTGTAAAATTACCTAGATAAAAATGCACCCAATAAAAACTGAAAAAAAAAAAAAATTATTGTAAGAATATGTCTCGTGGACTTTGTCACTAAGGTGGGTAAAAAATTTTGTTGAAAAAAAAAACAAAAAAAAAAACTCCTTTTCTAGTCTTTAAACAAATCACATCATCCTCATTATCTCTCTCACTTGCCTTATGAAAAGATTACATTTTAACCCAAGTCAATTTTTGAGTTCAAATTTGTCTAACCAAAAAAAAAAAACATTTTCCAAAATTATTGGTTAGCCTTTGGAATCATGATTCTAGCACAAAATTTTCAAAATTCATAATCAAACACATAACTCAAAATTATTCAAAAATGAATTTCAAAACTCATAACTAAATACACAACTCAAAACTCAATTCAAAACTCTTTTCGAAACTCAAAACCAAACTTTTTTCAAAACTCTATTTTTAAACAAAAATATAATTTTTTTTTATTTTGTTTTTTAAAATTATTTTGTGGAAAAAAAAAATTTTGATTGTCAAAGTTGAACTCAAAATTTAAGTAAATAAAAATAATGAAAAAAAGTTTAGAAATGTAAATTAGAAATGTTTATGTTTATTAAGAAAACGTAACTATCATTTTCAGAAAGAAAGTGGTTATGTGGAAAATGTTGTGTTGATTGTGTTTGGTTTAATTTTGAAATTGTGATTTGAGTGTGGAGTTGCGATTTATGTGAGTAATCATAAGTTGAGTTTTGAAAAGAAAAAAAAAATTTGTTTGGTTATGAATTTTGAAAGGAATTTTGAATTTTGAATTTTGAATTTTGAATTTTGAAAAGAATTTTGAGTTTTTAAAAGAGTTTTGAGTTTTTGAATTTTGAGTCGTATTTTAAATTTTTTGGATATATTTTTTAAAATATTAAAAAATGTCAAAGAAAATTTTATTTTTTTATTTTAAATATATAATTTTTATTTAGATATTTTTAAATTTTTTTTATTTAAAATATTTTATTTTATTTTGTAAATATTTTAATTTTTAATTTTAAGAGCGAATTGGGTCTACCCAGTCATCCGCCTAGACATTCTCCCGGACGTTCTGCTAGTTGACCGGAGCAGTGTAATTTATTTTTTTTTATAATTGCAACCTGTTATTTGAAAAAAGAAAAATTTATTATATTTGTTTTAGATATATTTTTTAATATATTACTTATTTTTTTAATAAAAATAATTTAACAATCCTATCATTAACCATCTTCAACACTATATCATCAAAACAAAGACACTTTCGCGTAATCTCCTCACTAGCAATTCACACATTAATATTCTTTTCACTAACCATCACCTCACAAACAATCTCATCCAACCTAATCTGCTAAATAAACGTGGTCATAAATCAATACTCAATTCAAAAATTACTTTCAAAACTCATAACTAAACACATAACTCGAAACTCTATGCTACTTTCAAAACTTTACACTCAAGTTGTAACCAAATACACAACAAAAAATTTAAAAATATTTTTATAAAATAAAAATTATATATTTAAAATAAAAAATAATTTTTTTTCAATTATTTAATATTTAAAAAAATACAGCATAAAAATGTATGAAACATAATGCATATTTAAATAAATAAATAAATATTTAAAATATAAAAATTAAATTTTTTTTTTCAAAATTTATAATCAAACACACAATTTAAAACTCAATTTAAAAACTTTTTTCAAAACTCATAACCAAAAACAAAACTCAAAACACTTAACCAAACTGTTTTTTTTTTTTTTTTCAAAACTCTATTCAAAGTCGTTACTCAAAATAAGACTATCCAGCTACTATCCAGCAAATCTTGCCTATGGTCGCCTGGGGTATGCACCCCCATGTTACCAGATCTCTTGAGATTCGCAATAAAGAATCTCGTTACAGCTATTGGGATTACATTGATGCTTTTTCTTCGACTTTTTATTATCAGAATTCCCCACGAAGCCATTCTCGGTTTCTTCGTGTTCTTCTCGAAATCCTCAAAAACGATATCCCAAACTGGTTTCTCGTTTGGTGGGATAGGTTTGGTTTACAGATCGATGCTTTTCCAGAACCCATTCGCCAGGCATTTAATGAATGGCACATTGCCTACAGTCATATTCCAGTTTACAAGGATATTTCTATGTCCAAATCTACAGCTCATTTTGTTATCCACTTTGGAATCCCATGGATTTGGAAGTGGGATTTCCAATGTGATTTCCAGAACAAAATTCTTCGTTTAAAAAGAGTTTTCTTTTATAAATGGTGGACTAAGGGCATGGATTCTCCTAAGCAACAACTGGAACTCTTCCAGAAGATTAAAGCCCATACACAGGCTTGCTGGGATGCCACACCAAAATTACTCCCAGCCACTCCAATCCAAAATTCTTTTGTCCAAACTCAAACTGAATTACGGCAAAAATATCCTGGATTATCTGAGCAAGAATTAATTATTAAGAGTATGGATTTTATGAAGGAACAATTCTTGCAGTCGTTCTCCAGAGATGATACTAGTATGAAATCTAGTTCCAGCAGCCATGGAGGTCCCGAAGATGAAGAACATTTTGATCCATTATTGGATGAAAATGATTTTACAGTATTGGCTGGCGAATCTCAAGATCCAACAGACAATGAGCCAAACATGGGCGATTTTTAGGATTCCCTGACTGGTTTGATTACAGAAAAGATGAGCCAGGACAAGAAAGGAAAAGGCAAAGAGGAATAGTTCTTTGTCTCCCACTCTCTTCCAGCACCTGTCCAGCAGCACAAGACGACAAGCTACTTTCGGTAAAAGAAGATGCTTTGTCTGCCATCACACAATTGTCCATACAGCTGTCCCTTACCGACAATTGAAGATAAGGAGCTGAGTCAACAGCAATCAGAAGAGGATAAGGACGATCAACTCCACCCATTTAGGACACGCCATCGGTCCTCCTCATCCTTATCTCATTTTCTTTTCTTTATCTATTTAAGGGATGCCTCACCCTTGTTGAAGGCATAAGTTTTAACGTGTAAAATTAATTGTGAAGTGTGAACTCTCTCTCTCTCTCAGCTTGTACTCTCTCCTTCCCTTTGAAGTATTATAAAAAAGCTTGAAGTATTGATTGTAAGTATTTCTTTAAGTTGTTCTTATGTATGTCCTCTGTTGATCTACTTGTTATTCTGCATGAATTATTAGATTTTTATATTGAAAGAAAAAATAATACTCTAAATTTTCTATCTATATTTCCTAATGACCCTTGGGGTCTCTAGCAATTAGAAAATCATAATCAACAAATAAATAGAATACATAATCAAATACAAGAACAAATAGTTGCGTGGGCGTCTGTACAAAGACCACCACCTCCATTCCAGTAGATCATGAGACCATATATGGAATAATTTAGATTTAATATAATAATAATATGAATAGTAATAACTCTGGGTTTGTGCTTAATGATGGGTAGAACAGTGTTAGGGTTAGTAGAACGTCACCCAAGCCGCGTAGAGGTTAGACCGTTAGCAGTGATTGCGGTGAGGTCGAGATTCTCGTAAGTCATTGACAGACGTGCTAGCTTTACCCTATGTCAAGCACCATTGTTGGTATCAGAGCCAAGTTTATTGTTATTTGTATTATGTTATAGTATATTTAAATTATACATATATGGTCACAATACAACCACATGAGTACTACACCTACAGAAGAAGTAGCCCTTACAGTAACCAATACAGTAGCTAATGCAGTAGCTTCTACATCAGAAGCTAGAGAGTTAGTAGCGTACCAGGATGTCAGGGAAGCCCTAGATAAATGG